TTTCACCGTTGCACGGTTGATGTAGAACCACTGTTCTGCTCTCCTGAGGAGGGAGAACGGCAACAGTTGGAGTCTGACTCTTCTGACGGTATACGTGCTATAGCTTTCCAGGAATTGCTGCAAATGAGCACTTGCATCCTCCTTAGGCTTTCCACAGAACAGGCAAGCCTGCGCCATCGTTAATTTAGTTGGTCTTCAAATCAAAGTCACCATCTCCCCTGCTGACTTGGGTTCCAATTGGCATGTTACTAGCAGAGGGAGTAGTGAACATGAAAAGTGTCTTCTCAGCCATATCGTGCAATTCTGGTGGCGCGGAATTGGCTGGTCTAATTGCCGATAGAGTAACCTTGAGGATGAACGACACGGGGTCGGCTTCACTTCACCAGTGACTCTAGATATGAAATTGGTCGGCAGATCAGAACCAGTCCTGTACTACCCTGTTTTCACATAAAAGAGAAAACAAACAAGGTTTGCCTACAAAGGACAATGACTATATATAGAGGTAAATATAAAATTATTAGCTAGTAGTAAACTCTTAATCATTTATCTTCCCCTGCAACGGCGCCAGAAATGCTTGTTGGTATTTCTTAGCGACACTACTGGAAATATAATTCCCAGCAATAGCACTAAAAATACTCATGGTATATTTATGGTTACAGATCTGATCCACAAGCGCACGGATATACCATTGTAGCATTTCACACGGGAGTATTCCAAGGTATGGTATTTATTTTATCCTAAGGAAAGATATGATAAGAGAGTACTATGCTAATAGTTTTTATATTACTTATATACATCAAAGTCTATGCAGGGGTTAATTCAGTTCAAAGGGTAGGGTGACACACAGGAGAAAGAACTAAGAACTACTCTCACTAAAATATAGTCTAAGCTAAGTTGAGAAAGAATAAGAAAAGTATCATTCATGTACTTCTACTATACATACATCTTTAGTCTATACTTGCTATTATACAGTCATGCAACCAATACCCCGTACCCAGTGTCCTTCTGGTGTTTCGAGAAGCCACCCCTGACTGTCGAGTTCCTTACGACAGCCCGTCATGACCATACAACCGGAGCTAAATACGGAAGAGTACCTTCCCCAGGGAATTAACTTAGGATTATATACCGCGCGGAGGAATACCCATACTGAGCTGTCACCATCAGCGGCCCACCTCTCATCCGCAGTATATAACCCCAATTAATGGTATCTAATAATCTAAGCACCACGCTTATATTACTAAATACTACTCTACATCCTTGCAACCGACATAGAGCAACCGAATAATCGGACACTAAACCCACACCAATACACCTATCTGGAAAGCTAGTTACGTGACTATATTGCTTCAAGTATAAAGTAAAGTCGGCACTCAAGTAATATGAATGGAATAAATTACCGAACTTGTATAAAGAAGAATATTCTATTAATTCAGTAAGTCTTACAAAAGAAGAGAGAAAAGCTACTATAGCCATACCCGAATTCTCCTGAAGACTCGAGGACTATGAAGACTATTCTATTTCCTACTCCACTAGCACTAGAACTACTAAACAATACTTGAGAGAGCTCTTGATCTTCTTCTTGAGGTGTGTGTGGGAATGAATGAGAGGAGGGGTATTTATAAGTGGAGAGGTGCCTTGGGAGTGTGGAGATGCTCCAAGCATCCTATGAGCATCTTTGCTCTCCTCTTGACATGTGGCATGATGAAGCATCCTAGGAGCATCTTTCTCCCTCCTTGTGACATGTGTCCACGGCGGTTATTTCAGGTAGAACCGATCACAACCACCATGGGATGTGGATAACTTCCAGCTGATGAAGAATTGGGCTGATCGGGCTGGCTGCTGGTTCGGCCGAACCAGGGGGTTCGGCAGAACCCTGGCCGAGCCCAATCAGCCCACCATTTGGCATGTGTTTCTCCCAATGGATCCTCAGCTTAGTGGTATGAATTATGGCCTTGTTTGCTCATGTTAATTCTGTATTATTAGCCCATCTATCCACAAGTCTGCTTCTCGACAGCGTCTGATTGATCATTCGTCTATTTTCTGTCGATTCTCCTCCATTTATATGTGCTTCTTCTGCATACATGTTAGTAGCATAGTATATAGTGGAAGTAGATATTTTATTTGGAATTTATGCATTGCAAGCATAGCTAGTCTGCATTAATTGGGTAATATTGACGGTCGAAACTGGTCGATAACGACCGTCAACAGCTTTTATCTTGTTCTTGCTTGTTTCTTCGATTTGCTTGAAGGAATAAGGTTGATCTGCACCGGCAAGATCAACAACCCACTGAGAGATGTATCGATCGCTAAGGTGCAACACAACAACGTCTAGTACGGTTGTAGTCGGGTCATCAACGTTTCTCCCAAATCGTACTTATCATCAACTCACCGAAAGATCAGGCCAACAATAGCCTTGAGTGTCTCGAGTGGAGCTCAGGGTTCATCATCATGACACTTGGGGATTTATTTTGAAAATAAAACTTCTTTTGGGACTTACTTCTCAGTTGGTTTCATCATTTTACCTACCAAGGCAATACACCAATATATATTATCAAACCATTTATATATGTGTATGACTACTTGTTATTATATTGAGCTTTGCTAAATTATCGTGACTCGTGTTAGATATCTCTCATGCTCTCGTGATCAAGGTTGCACAATTACCACATTATCCCTATAAAAAAATGCTAAGCTTCTACTCTGGAAGTTGGTAATATAAATTTCCATCACCATCCAAAAATAAACTCTCCATCCAGTTTATGCCTGCTTCACCTAGAGACTCCTTGAAAAAAAAATAGAGAAAAGGAGGGAAATGTATGGCTATGAAGAAATAAAACTTTGCTCTTCCAAAATATGGAGCAACATTGAAAAGAAAAAAAAGAGAGATATTGTAGCCATGCAACCTCCAAAATATTGAAAGGAGAAAATTGGAGAAGGTATACACAAAAGGAGAAACATTTTCTTTATTTCTTTTTCCCATCCACCACTACAATATTCATTCCACACAAGTTGTGCAATCCTTGATTTGAGAGTATGATTGACTATCTTCTTGAGTCCAAGTATTTGGCTTTGCAATATATATGATGCAGGTATGTCCCGATTTATCCCTATCAAGCTCCACATACACAGCCTTTTAGGCTAGGGATAAAGTTTGGTAAAATATACCTTGGCAAGGATCTACATAAATTGCAAAATACTTGAGTGATCTGAGATAAGTCAATATGAGGAGTATAGCCAGCTTTGCGAAAATTCATGAAAACCCCGAGAGTACAACAAAAGAATACAAGAAGGACCAGAATCGAGACTGTTTCGTCTTTCAATTACCTAAGATGGTAAGCTAGACACTTCTGAAGCTCACAGGTACGAGAATTGTTTTGAATAATTTATGTGCTTGCATTATATCTTGGAGAATTTTATCTTACATCTTAACCTTTAACCTTTACTCAGGAACAAGTAAAGAGCTAAGTGTTGGGGGTTTGTTGGCGGCCGTTAAATGCCAATTCTATGCCGCCAATACCTGCATAAAACATAATAAATGACACATCCAACATAGTGGTAGGGTTTAATTCTAATCTATTCCATGAGTGTTGGTGTATATTTGGATACAGAAGATAAACCACCAAAGTTGGGAGGAAACCTAGACTTAAGAGAGAGAATACTTTTATCTATCCAAGAGTGGGTTTTGAACTTCATCGAATTATCAGAAAATAGGCCCATCGTTCCTGGAAATAGATAAGGTAGAAGGAGAAGGAGTAACAAGCCAAAATCTGGGCCTGTTGGGCCAGACCAAGGTTCGCGCTGGTTCGGCCCAACCCCAATCTCAGCCGTCCAGACTGAGGTTTGGCACGGACGCTCCAGATCTTCTCCTGATGGTGGTTGAGGGGTACTTCAGACATTTCGCGTTCTCCAACCGTCATTACCTGATAAGGACATCACCTTCTCATTTCATTCACACACACTCCAAGTTTTTGAGTTGAATTGTAAGAGGCCCTATTGTACTATATTGTATACTAGAATTAGGGAGAGAGTAGAGTAGTGGAAGTTGGAGGAATTCCGGAGTTGTCGGTAATCCTCTACTTATTTTTTTACTCTATTAATTACTCTGTTTTAATCGAAATATCATCTAGAGTAATTAAGATTTATTATGTGAGAGTTATTTCTTAGTTAGTTCCTAATCAATATACGGGATCATTTATTATTATAATCGAGTAAAATATAGTGTTTGCTTTAGTGTTTAGCTAACGCTAAAGTAGTTTTTAACTGCGTAGACGTGGTGTCTGGGTAGTTAATTTCTGGTGTTTGCTTCATATCCCACATTAGGTTTGAGGTGGGTGTAGAGGTGATGACAGCCCTCAAATACACTCATGTCCTCCCTGTCCGGGTACTTTGTAGAGCCATATCTAGGAGCAGCGGGCTGGCCAACGCCCGAAGTACCGCGTTAGGATAAAATTGAACTCTCTGTAGACACTGCCTCTCACTATTAAATCTTCTCTACCCTTAGTCTATCTTATCTTTATGTCTTTGGATGAACCAGGTGAAGAGCTGACACACACGTTCCCCATGGAAATCGATACCTTGGAATACTTCAAGTGAAGTGCTACATCGGTATCTTTCGTGCGTTTGCGGATTCTATCTATGATATTAAGAAATACCAACAATGACATCATTAATAATTGGTCCCACTTGTTATACACACCGTGTTTTTTAGTCCGTGTTACAGTTGGCTACAAATCTATAGCCCACTTCTCTTCTCTCTCATCACTTATCTTCTCCACATAATAAGCTTATAGCTCATTTATAGTCTATTATTGTACCTACTCTTATAGGATTATAGGATTCCATGTAACTCGAGTATCTTCCTCTCTCCTTGGCGTTAAGGATTTGCCACTCTTAAAATTTGCTACTGGACCCACATATAATAGATACATGAGGGCTTATATGTTATAGAAAGCGAGTGGCAAATAATTAAATGCCTCGGCAAAATAAAAAAAATAAATGTCACAACAGAAAATGTCCCGTCTAGTCTCCTCTCGTCCTTGCGCCATCTCGCTGCTGAACAAGGGAGGGGCGCCGATCTCCATCTGGCGAGCAGAGGAGGAGAGGGGATCCTGGTGAGTATCCACATCGTCTTTCTGATTCATCTCTCTCTCCCACCGGGACTACTTTTGTCTGGAATTTGCTTGCGTTCGTTAACCCTAGCTTCTCTTCTAGATCTAGAAGAAGCTCTTCTCTTAATTTCAGAGCCTTGACCTTAATACAAGTTACAGTTTGTTTGTTCCCCAAAAGTTTGGGGGTTCAATTGAACCCCCATGTCCCAAGTTGGATCCCTGGCTTTTCGGTCGCGATCTAGCTAGGGTTTATTTTGTCTGGGCAGCGTTGAGTTGCACGGATTCGATTTTGTTCTGTGAGGGGTCCTGCGATTGCTGCTATAGTAGGGTTAAAGTTCTAAAACTTGGACTGGTTCATGAAGAGAATATATAGAGGCTTTAATCCTGTGCTTAAGTTTTTCTACTGCATGTTGGATCCGCCCCTGAGCCCAGCAATGATTATATTAGTTAGTAGTCACTATTCAACACTTTATTAGATTATTCCAGTGGATTTGAAGGATGAATTAAATTGAACATCAACACATAATTATGAAATACAGTGATAATCCAAATGTTTCGTCATCACAAACAAAAAAGAATTGGGGAGCCACTACATAACAAAAAAAAAGGTATCAAACCACATATACTTAGCATATATCTATTCCATTCATTGTCATACTGGATGGTATCTAGCTATGTGCCAACTGCTTAGATCTGTAGTAAAATTCGGAACATCGCCTTGCTCACCATGGATCACTACTGGCAATGCATTCAACATTTAATCACACATGGGCATTGGTTGTGTTCCTCATTCAATTTGCCAAATGAAATTCCCACCATAGCTTACCTGAATAATCTAATATCAGAACCAATTGGGATGTGTAGTAGTGAAATTCAAGGCAATCATGATTGCTGGACAGCTGAAGCCATCCAGCATAGGCCTGTTTCACTTAGTATGATAGTTGTGTCGGAATTAAGTACTCAGATATTGGAAGCAAATAAACTGTTTTTTTTTCTCCAGAGGGATGAAAATCAAAACATGTTAGTTCAATTTTGTGTGTATGCATGTAAGTGGTAAATACAATAATCAATGCCAACATGAATGATTCGATTAGTTAGAGTGCCACTTCTTGCTGGTCGGAAATTGCTTGGCATGATAATTGGTATTTATCAGCTAATAAATGAAGATATAGTTTTCATTCAACAATCAATATTTCAAGTATTGTTGATCGTCTGATCCAAAGCTTATCAATTTCGTGTTGATGTGGCTCTGTCAGATGGCTTTGTGTAGTCAGATGGCTTCTTTACTTAGAATGGTGTAGTTAGCATCACTGGTAGTATATACTAATTAGCAGTAGTATATACTTGTTTTTATACGTTGTATTATCAATATATGCTACATTCCTCGACAAAGATGTACTACCTTTTTTCGGTCAGTATATACTACATCCCTTAATCAAGCAGTATATGCTTCTTTTTTTGCTCAGTTAGTATATACTAGAAGCTAGTAGTGGTATGTACTGTTTTTTAGCTAGAAGTGGTATATACTGTTTTTAAGTTAGTAGTGGTATATACCTTTTTTTATGTTAGTTGCAGTATATATCTTTTTTAAAGTGGTATGTATAAGTAGAGCAGTATATACCTTTTCAAGTCAGTAGCAGTTTATAGAAGTACATTTTTTTTAGTTACTAGCAGTATATACTTTTCTTAAGGTAGTACTCCAGCAGTATATATTGCTTCTTACTTAGTATAGCAGGATATGAATTTTTTTAGTATATGCTATTTTTAAGTTAGTAGCGGTAAGTTTTTCTTTTTACTGTTATCTGAAGATCAAAAGTATCGATAAATTCTGTAAGATGCAAAAGGCAGTATGTATTGAGATGAGAATATGAAGAAGAGAGCCGTTCTACTCTATATATAAACTAAACCATACGCTGAATACAAACAAGAACAAACAATCCAGCCAGTATATCTCATTCACTTCATGCATACAGCATCTAAAAAAGCAGAATATTCAATACGAGAAGCACAAAGCTCTGTTTTCTTTTCTGAGCAATATATACTCGATTCTCAGAATGCTTTAAAACAAAATTCAGCTAGCAAATCACACTTTCTAAACAAGGGCATTTTCCCATGGCGCAACACATACTCTCTGCGCTAGCTGTTGCAGGGTTGAGGTAAGCAATTGAGTCATTGGAGTCAACACGCGTTCTTGGCGCCGGCTGGCAACCATCTGCACGCATCAATTAGACTTAATTATTGAACGAACGGAAGAACAAATTTGGATTGCCATGAAAAGAATGCATCACAATCAAAATAAAATAAAATAAAATCCCCACCGTTCCGTGCAGCGTCGGGCTGCCTCATTAGTCTTAATTGCTTGCTGCATGACTGCATCCCTCGATCTGGAGTCATTGGGTCAGCGGCGAAACTAATATGAAGAAGTCGTCAGGTGCCCTGCTGTTGGAACTAGCTAGCAAGGCTGTCGTCATCCCGTCGGCAACGAGGTAGATGAACCGCTGCGATTGGATGAGCTGGCGCGCCGCTTGGGAATATGCAGTCGTCATTCTAGATCGACGTTCATGATCTACACATCGAAAAATAAAAGTCAGCTGCATGAGATCTACATTAAACGAAAGGGAACTGTTGATCTGCAATACAAGCAGAGAAAGTAGGAAGGATTACATGCCTGGAAACAGAGCCTATGGATCCATACCATAGATCACCTAGGAATCTCTGTTGAACGGCTTGTAGAGCTGTAGATGGGTTATATGTGTGTGCTCTGATCAACTGGTAATGTCGAGGGAGATCGATGTGTGACACCTCCCGCCTGGGAATGACATGGGAGAGCAAGGCGAGACATCGCCCACCTGCGCCTGCGATGGGAACGCCGCCGACGAGATTGAGTCGTCGGCGCTGCCGACTGGAGACGAGGGTTTTTCTTTTGAGATTGAGAACGATGGATTTATACGATCCATTCGGTAAGGACGTCAGTTCTGTTTATTTGGAATAATTAACAATTATGGGAATTATTTATTTTCACAAAAATGGAACGGGTTCGTATTGATGCACCCATTAGCAGGGACAGGGAAACTCAATCACGCAGGTTTGGATCAACGGTGGATGAGAGCAGGTGTGTGTGTGTATATATATATGTATATATATATGTACACATACATATGTACATACATATATGTACATATACATATATATACATATATACGTATATATACACCCCTCCCCTAGAATAACTATTCTACACCCCCCATCTCCCAAGGGTCAAACCCACCTCCCCCACATTCCCTAGGGCCCAAAAACCCCCTCCCACCTCGGTCAAAGCGTCCTCCCGCCGGTCAAACCCGCCAACCACTTTGCTGTTCTCGTCTTGCAGGAATCATGCAGTAACAGGACGGTCATCGTGTAGTAACAAGATAACTTTCTCGCAGTAACAACATCAAAAAGTAGTCATGATGGATCTAGTTTTGTTAAGTGTTTTTTTTTGAACGTCATGGTGCAAACGGATTAGAAAAACAAGATATTATGTGAGAGATATTGCTCTATAAAGATTGAGATTTACCTCTTTTTAGTCCTCGTCTCACTGGAACGGCGTAGTAACGAGACGACCAATGTGTAGTAACACGACTGCTTTCCGCAGTAACAACATTTAAAAAATAGTTATGATGGTTCCAGTTTCGTTAAGTACCTTTTCTACTGATGCCATGATGCAAACGAGATAGAAAAATAAGACATGACTTGTACGTTACTGCTCTCTAAAGATTGAGATTTAGATTTTTTTTAGCTCTACAAAAACATTATTACCATAGTGTCACTGTTACTATGCATGTTCTCTGTTACTGCAAATTTCGCCATATCGTTATTACCAACCGTGCAGTAACAACATATAAATTTTGCAGTAACAACACATAAATTTGGCAGTAACATATCATGTTACTACCCTTCTGGGATAATGTTACTGCCGAATCATAGTAACGAAGGTATGATTATTACAGCAACATAACTGATTTGTTCTCACACAATTTGAACATATATACAAAGCATGCAAACAATATTTTCTATTCACATAACATCATGTGGTGAATTGGTTAGGAGAGTTTGCCATGAACCATGAGATCATAGGTTCAAGTCTTAATTTCACCAATTTTTTTTAAATTTTTCTAATAAAAGAGAGAAGAATAGGAGGAAAAAAGAGAGAATGGAGGGAGAGAAAAACGAAGAAAAAAAATAGAGGAGGGCGCTAGGAGGAGAAAAAGCGAAGAAAAAAGAGGGCTCTGCCCGGGATCGATCGGGAGGAGGAGAAAAGAGTGAAGAAAATCGAGGGCAAGGGAGGAGGAGGAGGGCGGCGCCGGGAGAAGGAAGAAAAAGAAAAAAAAAGTAGAGGAAGAGGCGCCATGATCGGGAGGAGAAAAGAGCGAAGAAAATCGAGGGCAAGGGAGGAGGAGGGCGGCGCCGGGAGAAGGAAGAAAAAGAAAAAAAAAGTAGAGGAGGAACTGAGGAAGAGGGCGGGGCTAGGAGGGTTCGAGATCGGGAGTGCGAGGAGGACGCCCGCGCGATCGGGAGGCGGGCCGTGCGTGGCCTTGGAGGGAGGGATGGATGGGCTAGGAGGAGGGAGGAGATGGGCTATGTGGGAGGGGGGTGTAGAATAGTTATTCTAAGGGGGAGGTGTAGAATAGAGCTGTCCTATATATATATATATGTATATGTGTATATCCATATATGTATATAGGTATATGTGTATATATATGTATATACATACATATATGTATATAGGTATATGTGTATATATATGTATATACGTATATGTCTGTACGTATATGTATGTATATACCTATATGATGTATATACATATGTATACGTATATGTATACACATATGTATACCCATATGCATATGTGTATATGTATACACATATGTATATGTGTATATGTATATATCTCTATATATATATGTATATATGTATATATATGTATATGAGAGAGAGAGAGAGAGAGAGAGATAGAGAGAGCAGTATTTTAGAAAAGTTGACCCTTTTGCTATTCTGCTAGGAGAAAAAATAATCTTGGGCATGGAAGGGCGCTCCTCAAATGAAATATCATCAGCTGAAGCTGTTTTGGTGGGAGCACTGTCTTCTGGTGTTAACGTACGAAACACAGTACAGTATTATTCATTGTATTAAAAAAATCTTAAATTTGATTTTAATCTTGTTTCTTTATATATGTGGTTTCAAACTGTACAGATTGTTATATTCAGTCTTCAATTTAACCTATTTCTTGTCCCTTTTTGTTTAGTACTAAATGGAGAAAACCTAATTGGTGTTATCTCAATTTGTAGGCGCCAACGTGGTTTGTGCTCAAGATCACATTCTTGCTACTGGCTTTCTGTTTTACTGCTATGCTTTCTCTAGCATTCTTTTCAAGTGACTTCATGATTATTGCACATGTTCTTTTGCTTGTGACCATTGGCACGGTGCTATTTGTGCTTCTCAACAGGTTTGTCTCTCCGTTTTCTCTACCTGCATCCAATCTTTACAGTCGTCAGGATGAATATTTTGAGTTATTTTTATTACTGTATCAATCTTTACAGGTTTCTGGCAGAAACTGGTCTGGTACCAGTTGAACAACAGATGAAGGAGATGGGTATTCATAAAATAGAAGCTACAGAGAAGGACAAGGGAAACTAAGCCTCTTGCTTTTATTGACATAGATGACAGCTCAAAATATTACATCATTGAACAGTGTCCTTTTGTACAGACTGTATATGCTCATTCAGGCATGGATGTAAATTTCAGGCTGACACTAACACATTTTGATGAAGCTACATTTATCTAGGAATATACCACTTTTAGGAATGCTTGTCATCCTCCTTTGATTTGCTCTTCTTCCTCTTGATGTAACAGAAACATGAGCAGCAGGGGAACTGAAACAAGAACTTCATCGTCTGTTTATTCACACCAATACCGTGTTTGTGGAAGTGTTATTGTGTTTATGCAGAACGGATTTGCTCCCAAACCCTTACATATATAGTATGCATTGATTCCTTGCTTAGTTGCTTATCAGAAGAGAGTTGAAATTGTGGCCCCCGTCCTTGTCAGCTGGGGCTTTTCACCTGCCTGCACTTATACTTTGTTTAGAGGGTTTGGTTTTTTATGGAACATTATATCAATCATCAATCATTCCGTCAGTTGTATTGTATTGTTATATCAAGGGCAACGTATAACTCCCTAAAACTGACATAGAAGTCAAGATCTTTTGAGGTCTTGAAGTTGGGCAAGCTTTCGTGCCTCTTTGCCTCTTTGCAAGACAGAAAGGATATTGTTTTCGTTCTGGATGGGTTTTCTGGTGCATATTCTTTGTTTGAAGAGGAGCTTTGTGCTGTCTCGTACATTTAGATTTTAGAGAGAACTTACGTCAAAACCAAATACATAAGCATTGTAAGTACAAGACCATTAGAGCTAACAAACTGTCAGGGAAGTCCTTAAATTGTGCTAAAATTTTCTGGTTGTTCATCGGTTTTGTGACGATACTGGTATTTTTGTCGAAGCCGGAATTCAAAACCTTCATCTACACCAGCAATACAATATGAAGTGCAAGACCTTCATAACTTGTATCCATGCGCTTCCTTCAGATTATTAGCTTGGAGTTCACCGACCTTTAGGGAGGGAACAAAAGTAATAGCCACAAACTGTTTATCATCCTATGACAAATGATTGAAATGCATAACAAAGAAACTTATGTGGTTGATAAAAAAAGAGTAAATTGCATTAGCGACACACGAACTTATCAAGTGAGTGTAATCTAGCGCAATAACTTATAAAACTTATAAAACGCTTGTTTTGGTATACAAACTTGTTTGCTGACCAAAAATTTGCTCAGCAAGATTGATCTTGTTGATTTGAATGTTGCGTAAATATGTATCTCAGAAGAAAATCAGTATGTCACTTAGACAAAGATCTGTTCAACAAAATATAGAATATGGCGTAATGATTGTATAAAGATTAAAGAAATAAAAAACCAAAATTAATGCAAGAGAAAATTCCCTATGTAGCATCAAAAAAAGTTGCTCTTCCCTCTATAGCACTCAAACTTCAAAAATTCCCTATCTAGGCACTTCTAAAATTTTCATTCCCTATGTAGCACTTCCGTTAGTTTTTACACTTGACGGTGTTAACTAGCAGGAGAAAAGGCGGTTTTGCCCTTCTTTAATAATCAACATCATGTACAGGCAGATCTGAAAACTAAAGAAGGGCAAAACCGTCTTTTCTCCTACTAGTTAACACCGTCAAGTGTAAAAACTAATGGAAGTGCTACATAGGCAAGGGAAATTTTAGAAGTGCCTAGATAGGGAACTTTTGAAGTTTGGATGCTATAGAGGGAAGAGTAACTTTTTTTAATGCTAGATAGGGAATTTTCTCATAATGCAAGGGGTAGAAAATAGAAATAAAGAAAGATAGAGTAGAAACCAAGTATACAAAAATAGCCTTTCACCACATGTGTACGTATGTAACATACTAATTTATTTATGATGTTCAACTCAGTAAAATTAGCCTTGCCATGCTATTTTGGCTTTGGTTCATACGCACCAGACAAGTTCATGCACCAGCGCTTTACAAATTCATTCACTAGATTAAACCCACCTGGCAAGTTCGTATATTGCTGATGCAATTTACTCTAAGGAGAAAAAAAGTGGTGAGAAATATAAAATATTAATAAGTCACTGTACTTCATTGTGTCTGCTAGTTACTTTTGAGTTGTAAAAAAGAAATTTTCAGTTCGCTTCCTCTTAATGCATTTTGGAACCTTTTTATATCTCCTCGATCTTTGTTCAGTCTTTTGCAAAAAAAAGGAAAATAAAAGGAAAACAAAAAAACTATGCAAATATGGACTAAAGTAAGCACCTATCGGAAATTTTCATATTAGATTTTCTGACGTGTATATATGTCTTCTACATAATTAGATCAAGAATAGCAATAAATATTGTATAAAAGCAGTTGCATAAGAGACCGCTCTAACCGTACTACAATTGTAAAGCATAGCTTAGTCAAATTTTAAAAAGGAACTAAACAAAAATGAAGGTTTGCATAATAACAATTTAGTTCATCTTTGTGAGTTATTATTTGAGCAAGCCAATCACCTATATCCCTTGTCAATATTAGTTGTAAAGCAAACCAAGGTTGTCTTGCTTTCCTTTTACAAATCGAATACAATGAGTAAAACAGTTACATCAAAGTTATTATTACTTGGTATTTACATCTATACAGTTAAGGCCATGTAAGCACTTTCTTATCACTTATTAAAAAATTGTCAGCAAACATACATAGCTTCAATAAGCATGACTTCTAAATGAATCATAGTAGTCTTTGCCCCTCCATGTATAGTGTCAAAATCAGTAATAACAATTATATGTTTAAATTAGGAGAAAATACTAACCTGATACACCCAACATCAGTGACATATTTGCCACAGGAGTAGAACTTTAGACTGAACAAACCCATTCTGAAGTTTGCAATAGTACTTGTGATGACCAATATATTATGGGTGCAACAGACATGAACAATACTGATCCAAATGGAAACAAAATTCACGTACTCCAAAATGATTTTATCCTCCTTTTCATGAATGGTTCAATGGATAACGGTTATGATGCATCAGTCATATCATGACTGACATTCTTGTATTGGAAGGTACAAGTAGTACGTTCATTCAGTAAAAGAAAAGGCACCAAAAAATTCGCCAACTTACAGTTACACCAGCGCAGATAGTTTCGGGCTGTTCTAGGCTTCTAGCAAGCAATGAAGTGAGACACTGCCATTACCCTTAATCCAGTGACATTACAGCATCACTATCTTAAAGGGATGTTAGCTATAAAGATCAAAACGTGACATTATGACTACAAAGATGTCATCAGAACCTAAGCCCTTTGGTACATTGTCACCAGTAATCCCGACAAGAGCATAATCCATCTTTGAAGTGATGGAAGCGCTGTAAATCTCTGATGATGATTTCTCTTTCAGTGATCTTGGTAATGAACTTCATTGCTGTATGGCAATCACTACAGACCCGGAGATTCTTTATTATATGGATCACTGATCTTGGGACTGAATTCATTAGAGCAAAAGCAACAGCAAGCTTTTCACTATGGATTCGCAATGCAGACTCTTTCTCTTCTTCATCCAAATCATGAAGAACAGAACCCGTGTTTGGTACATAGCCTGCTTCTTGCATTCTTTCAAGCAGTTTCTCCAAATAAGAATAGATTTCAATGTGCTGTGGGTGACTCTTGTCGCCAACATAAAACAAATAGATTTTACCTTTCAACTCAAAAGAGCTATACCCAGGAGGCTTTTCTATTCTTCTTGTTTTGACCAGAAGCCTTATCCGTTCCACATCTTTCCACATTCTAGCCTCTGCATATATATTAGACAACAGAACATAGTATCCACTATTGCTTGCATCCAATTCAAACAATCTTTTTACAGACATTTCTGCAAGCTCAACATTTTTGTGTATGCGGCATGCACTAAGAAGAGCTCCCCATATAGCAGCATCGGGTTTGACCTTCATTTCTTTAATGAGACTATAAGCTTCATCAAGACAACCAGCACGACCAAGGAGATCCACCATGCAACCGTAGTGCTCCACACCAGCTTCAATACCAAATTCTTGCTTCATGGCATTGTACCAATATCGGCCCTCATCCAAAAGACCAGCATGACTGCAAGCGGCTAAAACTGAGATAAACGTTATGTAGTTAGGCCTTAGACCTGATCTTTTCATCTCGGTGAAAATCTCAAGGGCTTCTTGTCCGCGACCATGCATGCCATAACCAGTAATCATGGCAGACCATGAAAGGATGTTCTTTTCCTTGATTTTTCGGAAGGCCCTACTTGCCATTTCAACTCTTCCACACTTACTGTACATATCAACTATGGAAGTACCAACATAGACATTTTCCTCCAAACCCATCCTTACCACCTTTCAAATACAAACATGATGAAACTTCAGTCATAATGTAAATAAATATTTAAGAAATCATAGAAATGTAAACTTATGATGCATATCCTCACAAAGATAATGGGCATGTGTATGCAATAAACTTGTCACAAAAAAATGTTACAAACATCACAAATGGAGGATTATACAATTTGGAACCTGCAAATAGATTTGCATTTTCTAGGGTCAATTTTTTTTTCTCGAAAATGCAGGAGAGCTGCATTTCATTTCATTAAGGGGAAGAAAAAACAATACAAAAACACAACACAAAGAAAAAACAAAGTAGGAGTGCCCGAGCCCTCCTACCGAGACCCACACACACTAGACTACCCGGGGAGCTTAGTTGCCTAGGTTAGCCGTCCCACTAAGGAGCTTTTGAAGGTGAGAAGCTCCAGCAACACCCCAAAGATGGCCCTCATTTTCTATCACTTGTAAGACCGTCGCTACTCTAGGATTGGCGTTGTTGAAAACGCAGTCATTGCGGTGCTTCCAAATCTCCCAAGCTACTAAGGTTACCAAGGAGTTAATCCCTTTCGGCACCTCCTTCGGCCAGTTCTTGGTTGCTTGACTCCACCACCTCAGGAAGCGGTTGGTAGAGGGCTGAGGCGCAGCCTCGGCAAAACCAAGTCTCAAGAAGATTGCCGTCCAAACTTGGCGAGAAAAAACACAAGAAATCAAAATGTGTTGGATGGATTCTTCACTTTGATCACAAAGGGGACAGATCACTGAGTGTTGCAGCCCAAGCTTTGCTAGACAATTGGCTGTCCAACACCTATTATTGAAAGAGACTGAATACATGCAAATGGATAGTAACAGTTTGTGGACTACAGCGGTGCTTGAACTATCACTATGTTAAGTTCATTTTGGAAGAGATTGAATGTGCAATTTTAGTTACTAGAGAAAGTTAAATATATTAAGTTAGTTACATACAAAAGGCACGGAACACATCAACTATAAAACAATATCTGATATTACTAAGAGAAATAGTAGTGTGTAGAAAGCTTTTGGAGGGCTCATGCCTATATGTATTGTTGAATGCTAGTATATTGCTATGTATTGTAGGCTCATGAGCTTCTTTCCCACGATTAGGAACTGAACCCTTCACAATGCAACTAAAATGTTTGGTCTGAAACAGCAGATCCAAGCAAGTAATTTACCTGATTATGAATGCGCTTTCCTGTCTGTATTGCCCCTGCATGCGCACAAGCCAGTAGCACAGCCGACAATGCCACAGCGTTGCATTTGATTCCTCCGCCAACATTCAGCATCTTGCTATACAACCCAATTGCTTCGGCTGACATCCCATTCTGTGCGTACAGAGCAATCATCGAATTCCAGGACACCACATCCCTTTCCATTGTATCAAACACTTTCCTGGCTACCTCCAAGTCACGACTGCCACCCTTAGCGTACGAGTCTAGCATCGTGTTTACCACCCCAGCATTCCTTTCGAAGCCAATCTTTGCAATAAGCGCGTGGAGGCTGGCAGTAACACCACGGTCAGGGACACGGGCGGAAGCAGAGAACGCCACCAGAGCGGCAGCCTCGTCGACCACAGAAGCAGAATCGGAGGCTATCATGGCACGGAAGAGTTCGAGCGAGTGGTAGACTAGATTGTTGCGTACGTAGCCAGATGCCATAGCGGTGACGATGACGGGGTTGGGGTCAGGGATTTCGTCGAACGCCCTGCGGGCGTCCATGGGACGGGAACAGTGGTGGTACATGTGGAGGAGGGCGGAGGCGGAATACGGGTCGGAGGGGAACAGGCCCGAGCGGAGGGCGAGGAGATGCAGCTGGCGACCGGCGGCGAGGGACCTGGCGGCGGCGGCCGCGCGGAGGGCCGGGGGCAGAGCCGGGCGGAGCGCGGCGGGGTTGGCGCGGACGGCGGCGGCGAACGTGGCGAGGGCGGCGACCGCGTCGCCGGAGGAGAGGAGGTCTGCGACGGCCGCGGACCAGGACGCGGGGCGCGACGGGTCGACGGCGCGGAGGAAGAGCGCGCGGAGGGAGGAGGCGGTGGTGGTCGGACTCGGGACGCTGCGCTCTCGTTGGCGTTGGGGATTGAACGCGGGAGATGGGTGGGCAGGCGGCGTGGGGAGTGGATTTGGGAGCGATGTCATGACGCTTGCTCCCGCCATTGCCGAGCCACAGCCAGTCAGTCGCCACTGCTCGCGTGCCACCGCCGCTGCGGCTGCTCGTATTCGGCCGCCGTCGTCGCTCTCGCACTCGGAACTTTTTTCGTTTTTAGATTTTTTTTTAATATTTACAGAAATAATCTATGGACCAAAAAAAATTGCAGAAATAGCCCCTGCCGCCCTAATGGTGGGCGGCAAGGTGACGTGGCAGACGGTGGATCGACCACGCCGTCTGCCGCCGTCGGCCAAAATTGCGCTTAGGCCCTTGCCGCCCGTACAGAGGGCGGCAAGGGGCTAATTGCAATTTTGGCCGCCCATAAAGAGCTTGCGGCCGTACTTTTTTCATCTGGGTCCCTTGCCGCCCTCTATTGGGACGGCAAGGGACCCAGATGTAAAAGTACGGCCAAAAGATTTTTCTATGTTATGTTAATAATAAATAAAGAAGTATTTATTGGTAAAACTTGTTAATATTGTTATAAAAATGTATTGAAGTTGGTTGTTGCGCAATTTCATATGTTAAGTGAGGTATTATTTTGTACCTTATTCGACGTATTAGTACTCGGATAATTTATATAGGCCTATCGCAGTTTGGGTCGTAGAAACATTATATGGACTTAAACAAGGAGAATTATGTAACATGAAGAAATAGTAGTACAATTTGAACATGATACAACTATTTGCATTGCGGTTACATAGATGATATTAGATTCGAACTAGGAGGGAGGTAGTGCAATAGTTGAACACAACGACGATGTAGTAATGGGACAAGGAAGCATGACAGTAGAAATTTCAATATGCCAAGTTGTCCGATAATAGCTAACCCCTACGTGAGGATCCCTCTCCTCTCTTAAACCGCGCTTTAGTAACCCTGTATTGCTCTGGTAGTTCAAGCTGCACAACACGACTAGGTGGAGTTAGAACCCTTCTGGTGTCTATCCATTCTCTGTATTGACATCTCCTTGGTGGTTCCTAGGAGGAAAGAATAGATGTAAAGCAAGCAAAGTTAGTAAATGTTGTGAGAAAATAAGGATTCATGTAATCAAAATATTCTTACCATGAAATCGTCGTCAAGAATATTTGGACAAACAAAGAACCTTCGACCCAATGTTGTAGGATTTATGGAACGAAGAACCTGACAACGATCACCACACCTGCATCTTGGACGGGCTTCCCATGGAGGGAGTGCCGTAGTTAGCACCCGCCAGTCGCTCTGTTATTCACGACATTGTCGTTCATAAGCCGCTTTTCTCTGTAAGTATTGCTCAGTACTTTCGGATGCGAAATACCAGCGACTTTCTTGTAAACAAGTGGTTAGGTCGAGAACGGGATTTTCTGTATCGACCCACTCGATGTATGCGCAAGCTGTAGTGCGGGTCTGCCGAATAGAGTAGTGTTACGAAGAATAAAGCGATTGCCCATACGGAATGAATAAGCATATGCAGATAATAAAATACCTCACGGTCATAGTTAGGACACCTAAAAAAGCGCCTTCCTCGAATATCAGGACTCCTCGAAGCCATTAGTTGGCATCGATCACCGCATAGGCAGAGAGGACGCTGGCACCAAGGTGGTAGTAGGTATACACAAGGATCGCTACGCCAGTTTGGATCCTCAACACCTCGGCGTCTAGCCATTGACGAAAGCCGGTCGGATTTGTAATGAAGCAAGTGGGGAAGAGAGTACTGAATGTGACTGAGTTCTGAAAGATTGTGAGGCCTCACTCGTTAAGGCGACTTATATAGGCGCAAAAAATCGAGTGATACCCCTGACATGTGAACGTGGTGGGGTATGGTGGGTACGCCTGATTGGCGCCGAAAGATACATGCATGATCGGCGCCGAAAGTTACATTGGTCGTATGCGCCAAATGGCGGGCAAATACTCGTATCACACGCGAATAAAGGAGGCTGCATCCGTGCGGCAGAAAGTAGTCGTGCATGCGCCGAAAGGTATCGTGCATGCGCCGAAAGGTATCGTGCACATATAACAACAACGTAGTCATTACACAAGCATACAGTACTGGAAAGTGAAGCAAGTAAACAAAGAGAAGACTGCTCTACTGGCCCTGCCCCGCGCCGCGACCACGCTTGGTCCTCCGGGCCTGTGCTCGCACGTGGTCCTGGGAGTAGGTGAAACGATCCGGTGGCACAGCACGGGTAGCACGAGTGTCCCGCGGAGGAGTGGCCTGCGCCTGGTCCTGCGTTTGCACCGGCGGTGCGCCTCCCAGCTGTGAGGGGCCGATGACGTCCTCTGTCGAGCCTGAAGCGAAGTCGAAGTCAGTGATGTCGAAGAGGAAGGTGGAAGGTAACAAGTGGTCCGACGAGGTCCCAGCATGGTCCAGTGGTGGACCCTGACTCGACGTGCCGGCTGCCTGTGACGAAGTCCCGGTGTACTGCCAGAACTGCGCTGAGTGCGAGGTCGACACAGCTGCCTGAGACGCTGACCCTGCAGCTTGGGAGAAGTGGGCGGCCTGCGTCATAGCGAACTGGGCGAAACCTACACATCGACAACGGGACCCTTGTAAGCTAAGACATAAAATGTATGTAAATTGATTGTCGAAGTAATGTTGTTTTTTTAAGTACCTGTGGGGGGCACAACAGAAGGCCTAGCCGAGGAAGGCGGGGTGCTGAACGGTGCACGAAACCCTGAAGCAATCGGCAAGTGAAACGGCTCACTTATATGTGCGAGGCATATACAGAAATAGTAATAAAAATACTTACCTCCGTGCGGAGGGGGAGTCGGCCTAGGAACGTGCGCAGCTGGACGGGGACCAGTCGGTACGGGTGGCCGCTGTACAGCTGCGTCTGCCCGAGCAACGTCGTCTGCACGACAGGTGAGCACTCGGAGAATCGAGCGCATCGACTCCACCATCCGCGTGTACGTCGTCAGGTGCTCCTCTACGGGTACCGGAATCCCCGCGCCTAAACGTTGGATCGTCGTTGAACCGTCAACGATGACCCGGTTGATGTCGTCGACCTGCATGGTTAATTTGTTCGTAAATATTCATAAAATTTGACGAAGAGAAAGACATGAAAACATAAAGGAATGGTGCGATGCAGGGTACTCACAGCACGAGCGAAGTCCTGGTCGCGGTGCCTGACATAGAGGTCTCTAGTGCTCGCAACGTGGGGCTGCTGCTCCAAGGGAGCGAAGGTGACCCTAGTACGGGTGCGTGGCTGGTACCAGCGTAGGTAGGCCTGGTACGACTCCTCAGTGTGTGGCTCTCCCTCGTGGTCCACGACCTCCTCGGTTGCGAGCAACCAGTCCTCAACAAAAGTCGCCAACTTGGCGGGCCAGTCGCCAGCTGACTGCTGACCCTTGCGCGAGTACCTGCGAATTAATGTGTAATATTAGTGTGAAATGACAGATGTTACAAATTATTGTGAACAGGCAGATTTTAATGCAACAACGAAAAGCGTAGTGCAAGATCTTACCGGTGAACAGCAGCTGGGACGGTAGTCGGAAACGGTACTGGAAAGGGCTGACGGAAGCCGAACTGCCGCATCACGCGGAAAGGGGCGTGAGGCTCAACGCAGATGTCGAAGACCATCGGAAACGTAGTCATCCAGTACGCCTGGTCCCTGGTGCAGAGTGTGGACAGACCCAACGGCGCACGAGCCTGGGTAGCCGTGGCACTGTAGGGCTCCCACACGACGTCAGTCGGCAGAAGGCGGTCGAACTCCATAACAAACTCAGGATACGACCGCCTAACCTGGACGTGAGCCCATCGGCGCTGCAATACGAGACGATCGATGTGATGTACAATGAACTTAACAATTAACTTAACAATACGATAAGATCGATGCAACGTACCTGACGACGGCACCACAGAGTACCCATCGTAGGGTAGTCGACCTCTGGTCGCTCCTCATACAGTGACTCCTCGTACGCGTGCTGGTCCACCTCAGGGAGGCCGATCGCAATCCTCTCAGCTGCCCAGATAGAAAGAAAGAGAGGGCACCCACCAAAGGTCGCGCTGGGATCCGTCTTCGTGCAAGACTCACAAAGTGCACGGTACAGAGCCGCCAACAACGCGGAACCCCAGCTCCACTGAGGCACCTCGCCTACCGCGGCGTCGGCGATGCTCCTAGCGTAGTGCACGAATCCCTTGTCGACCGCGTGCCCGTGATCGCCACAGAACATCACCCAGCCAAAAAGCCAGAGCAAGTACGCCTCCAAACATCGGCTGTAGGAGTACTCGTCGGCCTCCGCCTGTAGCTGCTCAACCTGCAAGCCGTCGATAAAATGTTAGGCACCTTAACTGCGGACTAAATATGTAATACGATTGTCATTTCGGTACAAAAATACTCACGGTGAACTGAAGCAGCCACCTCTTCGTAGGTCCGGTGTTGCGGTGGTGTGCCAACGGCTCGAACGGGAGGTGCGGTGCGCGCTGTACTAGTGCGAAACGTGCCGTCAGATCGTCCTGCCAGTCCACAGCCGTGGTCACTGGCCCAACAGCGTCTCCCGCGAGCGGTAGCCCCAACAAGTACGATACGTCCTGTAGGGTAGGGGCTACCTCACCGCACGGCAAGTGAAAAGTGTGCGTCTCTGGCCTCCATCGTTCGACCAAAGCTGCTAGGAGGGACCTGTCCACAGTCCATCGCTTGGCCGGGTCCACGTCGCCGGCCGCAGCCTCCACCAGCCGACACATCGGTAGGAGGCCGGCCTCACGTAGCCTGCAATAACAAATTAATATGTCATTATAAAAAATATTACAGTGCAACTAACTTATAGTAAAACACTGTTCGTACCTCTCGACAAAGGAGTCGTGAACCGTGAGTAGCTCACCGCACGTCCGTGCCCGGAACGTCCCAAGCTGAGCCCCCTGCACCGCAGTAAGGTGAGACCGGTGTCGGTGATCTATCGCCGGGTCCAACAACTGAGGTGTATCCTGACGTGCCATCTCTGAAAAATATAGTGTTTCGTGTTAGAACAATTCAAAAAATAGTACTGTAAAACAAAAGATAACTTGCAAAATTATGAAATAGTAATAAAATCATGAGATTAATTATGTACAACAAGAGTACAGGCTATTTAAATATAGCAAACGTTACTAATGGTACATAACGATGACGTGCAATTTAACATATATGTAGAGTTCAATAATA